CCCGCCCCCACACACACATACACACATGTGCGCGCGAGCAGTGTCTGTCGTCCACACACACATACATGTACACACTGCTGGTTCACAGAAACCATATTTATAGCTTCCCTGTACCACTTGTAACGACATGTATCCCAGAGCGGGCGGTGTAGATCTGAGTGAGGAATATACATGTATTATTGTCTGTCTGTCTGTCTCTCTCTCTCTCTCTCTCTCTCTCTCTCTCTCTCTCTCTCTCTCTCTTTCTCTCTCTCTCTCTCTCTCTTTATAATCCCCTCACCCTTTGCCCTCTCCCTCTCCCTCTCTCTCTTCCTCTCTCTTTCTCTCTCTCTCACTCACTCTCTCTCTCCCCTTTCTCTCTCCGTCTCACCAATTCTCACACTCTCTCTGAATGTTATATGTGTGAAATTCTTCAAACAACAGTATAATTGTGAAATCGGTCTTGCACTCATAGAACGCACCAACAGAAATCAATAGCGAAGATTTCCCCGTTGCCGCTGGCCTGCTTACGGTGCGCAATGGCGTGCAAAGTATTGCAAAATCTCTCCATATCGTGATTTCATCCCTCTCTGGCTGTCAACAAGAAATCCTATTATAATATATGAGCATTGATGCCGGCCGGGCATTCTTTGTGAGGACGCAGGGAACCATTTCAAGAGTTGCATCAGGAGAATGTCTTTTTGCGTTTAGTGCATTGTGGTAGTAATACCAACCAACCAACCAACCAACTAACCAATCAATCAATAAATCAATAAATCAACGTGGGTGGTTGGCGGCTGCTCTGGTGTGGTTTGCATCTTATTTCCTATCAAACATCTATCGTCTTTATCTCCCCTCCTTTTTTGTGTTAGTTACTCTCTTGTAATATCTTTAATCTACGGCACTTATATTATGACCTTATTGTGTTGCAAGTGCCGTAAAACTCTTGCTAAAACTAAACTAAAAAATCAACCAATCAATCAATCAATCAATCAATCAATCAATCAATCAATCAATCAATCAATCAATCAATCAATCAATCAATCAACCAATCAATCAATCAATCAATGAATCCATTGGTAGTTTATTTGAGAACTACATCTGTAGTTACGAAAGCTGGAAAAGTTTCGCTCGCAATGTCTGCGTGCAAAACGTATTACCGTTCCATCCAGTTCTTTGGTTCGGTTTTTTTTTTCTGTCCCTCGCAAGCACTGTTTGGTCTCTACTAAGGCTAACACTGTTTTTGGTCAATTGCCAAATGTGTTTTGGTCTATTGTTGGCTCTGTTTGGTCTATTGCTAGTTCTGATTTTGGTCTATTGATAGCGCCGTTTGATTTGTTAATGGCACTACATGTCGTATTTGGTCTATTGTTTGAACTGGGTTTTTGGGGGATTTTTTGTTTCGTTTTTTTGGGGTTGTTTTTGTTGTTGTTTTTTTGTCTCTCTGACTTGCTCAGGACGGACGCATCGTGTGGTTGGTTAGCGGGTGCTATGGTGTGGTTTGCTTCTTCTTTCCTATCAAACATCTATCGTCTTTATCTCCCCTACTTCTTTTTTTGTGTTTGTTGCTCTCTTGTAACACCTCAAATCTTCGGCACTTATATGACCTTATTGTGTTGCTAGTGCCGTGAAACTCTTACTAAAACAAACACACACACGTATACCCCCACACACAAACACATACACACACACACACACACATGTTGGTCAGCACCCAGTCAGTTGTTCTCCCCCCCCCTCCCAGT